AGATAGATAGATAGATAGATAGATAGATAGATAGATAGATAGATAGATAGATAGATAGATAGATAGATAGATAGATAGCACTTTATTGATCCCTCGGGAGTTGCCTTCGGGAAAATCCAGCAGCATTACAACAACAGTAAAAAACACACAAATAAAGTAAAATACAATAAAATACAAACATGAGTAGCAGCACACTGACAATGAAAATGGGAAACCTGAACAGTGGATGTTAGTAGGTTAATAGATTACTAGGTTAGTAGAAGTAGATAGATAGTGTTAGTAGTGTTAATAGATTAGTAGGTAATTATTGTAGCCATGTATGGTGTTGTTGATTGCAATCTCAATTATTATTTATTATTATATTTCATTCCAGTGGACTCACCCCCGCAGGAAGGTTCGGGTGGTTGGTACGGTGCAGTGTGATTTGGGTGGCGACTGCTGCCCCTGTGACCCGGTAACAGATAAGCGGATGAAAATGGATGGACGGATGGACTAAGTATACCACCACCATACCTCTATGGTATGTATATTTAAGCATAACTAGTATAAATAGTATAAATATAAGAATGTTATGATGCAACAGGTATATGAATAATTAATGAAATAATTAAATTAGGTAAACAGTTAGCTATATGGGCAGTTCCAGTAGATATATTCCAGTAGATATATTAGTGTATGATGTCGACCAGATTTTTACAACTATTAATATAGGAGCTACTATACATAGATAACATAATACTATATAGTATACATATTATTAATATATTTATACACATTATATTAGTTATAAATATACATAACCCTAACACATGATAGACAAGCAGAAGCAGGTGGTAGCAGAAATAAGCTATTTGAATTTGTTAAAAATTAAAGAAACAATATTTCATAAAGAGATAAAAAGATTGAAAGAAGAAGGATACAAAGATGAGAGAGAAATCTTCTGGAGAATCCTACTTATTTTCACACATGAGAGAACATCACACCCCGTCCTCTCTAGTCCTATTATATAATTAATAATATTAATAATAATACCAAATATAGATATAAAATAATAATAATTATATATTATTAATTATTATATGATATAATAAGTATTAAATGTATATATATACATTTATATAAAATATCCTACTGAAAATTGGGCAGTGCTGTGTCAAGTGTTGCTCAAATGAAGTTTGTCCCCGTGGAGTTACCATAGGTCGCTGTCCAAGATGGCGAATAGGTCGCACATGCGCAAACGGACATGTTGTAAACCGGGCAGTGACAGACTAAAGAAGAAACCTCAGCAGAAGTGCGGTTGCTTGCAAACGTTGAAACAACAGCTACCACCAGCAACTGTACCAGTCGCGACCACCATAACCCGCAACTGTACTAGTCGCCACCACCGATTATGGAGAATATCCGCGTACTTGAGTTGTACAGCGGAATTGGAGGGATGCATTACGCGTTAAAGGGTGAGCTTTCCAATTGAGCTCATGCGAAAACGTAGTTATTGTTGAGCAATATGCAGTGAAAGATTTTGGGTAGAAACTAGTTAATAATCGTCACGCACGTTTTCTAAAACACTGTGGACCGTTAGTTCTTAATTATTTGTTAAAATAAATACAACTTAACAAACAACTTAAAACTTGTTAACGATCTTTTTTCATCCTCTGTTATTGGGTGTTACAGAAGTATACATTTGTATAGATAAAAATAATTGGAGGTATAGTTACATTTTATCCCACACAAAATAATACATTAAAAAGATGTATAGAGAGCAACCACAGAATAACAACCTGATTTTTTTCCCATTTAAAAAAGAAGAATATCTCTAAGTGTTATTGACTTCCACTTCAGCTTCAGTGCCATTTAAAAAACAAGAATATCTCTGTGTTGTGTTATTGACTTCCACTTCAGCTTCAGTTCAGTACATCAGCTTTCATGTCAATTAAATGCCAAAAGTAGGGACATCCAATTTTTTTTGGAACCTGAAAAAAATACATTAATTAAACTGTTGTTAAACTTGTACTTATGTTTCAGCGTATCACAACAGTATCACAATTATTGTGTCACGGTCTGCAGCCACAATAGAAAATGTCACTCACCAAACATTTTCTCCATCTAGAAAGTGGTGTACGTGCCTGCGTAGTTGCAGCAGTTGACATCAATCCCACAACCAATCAGATCTACAAACATAACTTTCCTGATACCCCACTCTGGAATAAGACTATTGAGGTGAGTAAAAACAGAGGTTTGAATTGTCTTTTTATGGTTGAAGAGTTCTGTTAGGCAACTGGACATCAAATTTCACGTCGAGTTGCCTAACGGAACTCTTCAACCTTGACCATGACCTGTATGATCTGCATAGACATTGTCTTTTTATATTTTAATTTTAGGATTCCTGTTTTATTAGAAAAGAATACATTTTTAACCAGTAGTACAGTGTGTTCCACATATGTGAAAGAGTTGAACTGCAATTATTTTGCATAACAGACACAAGTTTTAGTTAATTATCAAATATCATTGAACCAATTTTCATATGCAGTGAAATTGGTTGCGGTTGGTAGCAAAAGTTGAAGCTTTTCTGATTCCATTATTTCTTTTTTTTTTTTTTAATGTATTTCCAAGACTCGGTCATAAGATAACTGTTTCATTGGGGACCCTTTGACGCTTAGATACCCATAGTTTTTACTATTTTGGATTAGCCCAACCCACAGACCGGCAGATTTTGAATAACGTACTAGAAAGCGTAAACCCAGTGGTTTGTCCATCCACCCATCCATCCATTTTCATCCACTTATCTGTTACCGGCTCACAGGGGCAGCAGTTGCCACCCAAATCACACTGGGGTTCCACACCAATGACAGAGACATTGTCTCTGGGCCACAGTGCCAATTCAGTGGTTTGCTGATAGTTTATTTAATTTTGAGGTTTTCATTTACAATCAGCCTCCTCCATGTCAGAAAAAGTTTACACCATTTTACAAAAATAGGAACAGTTTTTACGTCACAGCTTGAAGCTTACAAACATGGCATATCACTTAAAAACACTAAGCTAACTCAATGTCTTAAAGCGACAGTTTACCTTTTACACACACTATATATTATGTTTGGTGTCAATAGGTGCAACCAGAGGTGTGGACTCGAGTCTCATGACTTGGACTCGAGTCAGACTCGAGTCATCAATTTGATGACTTTAGACTCGACTTGACAAAATGTAAAGAGACTTGGAACTCGACTTGGACTTTAACATCGATGACTGGTGACTTCACTTGGACTCGAGCCCTTTGACTCGACAAGACTTGATACTTTCTCCAAAACCC